TCCATTATGGTGACAAAAAGATCTGTAAAATCCACAATTTTTAGGATCAAAAGTTTCAGAATATCAAATAAGAGAGATGATCTCACATATGTAAATATAAATAATTTCACAATAATGAGATGAATCTCCCCACCCTCTCAACCTTGTTAAGGAACCATTAACCAAAAGCTTAATCTAGTGGATTGTGGGGTGACAATGGAATAGCATGCTAACTTAACAGTTATAAAGTTCAACTCTAATTCACAAACAATTGAACTACGTCAGTCCCTTCGAGTCATGCTACATACAATCTCATTTTGATGGGAGAAAGTTTAGATGGTTATGATGACAATAATGATGCTTCCTAAGCTCAAACCCAACCTTTTGTTCCCGATGCAATCCAAATGACTGCCAAAGCAATTATACGTTAAGATGGTTGAGTTGCTCTTGTTCAAGATGCAAGTTCCTGTCAAAATGACTTGGCTGTGAACTCTGCTCATTATATTTGTTCTAAATCCTATAAGCCTAACATGATATTGCAGAAAACAGTCATTCAGTAAAAACTAAAAAGAAACCTTTCAAACATTCTGGTTTTAGATCAAGGAGTGAAATTGTTGAAGTTTTTTTTATCTACCCAGACAATGCAACGATAGACAGGGAAAGAAAATAGATATAGATATGTTTATAAGAAGCTCATGATCCATAGGGGGGTAACATGGTAAATATTAAAAAAAACAGTTCTTTACTTGGTATATTTATATGATTACCAATATATATCACAAAGAAACAACTAGGGTAAGAATAACAACTGCACAGCAGTAGAGGTCATCATGTCACCCTAGAGTCATCACTCATGACCAATTTGAGTGGAGTGCACTTAGAGGCACTAAACCAGCACTGTGTGCATCTGCATATCGTGAAAAATTGCATGTTGAAGTAGCATATTTTGACTCATCCTTTGCACGTTTCACGGTCTACAAGGAATAGGGCATTCTATGTACTTGAAAACACTGCATTTGAAAGAATGATGCTACCAACGGCAGTGCTTAAACTAAATCCTGTATTCAAGGATGTGAAAGCACAACAAAAGATCCGCTTAGGTGAACTCAAGTTACATAGGAAAAGTAATCATCTTGCAGTCAATCAAGTAACAAAAATTTACAAGTCTTTCCAAAGCTTCGTCTTTCAGACATAAGTACGCATTGACGACAAATATTGCATAATCATCCAGCACATAACAAATGAAGCTATACCTACACCAATTAACATCAGAAAAGACAGTATACAAATATACGGAATCAACTGAAATATCAAATAAGTCAGCAAAAACCTATGAATATTTCAATATAGATCTCCAATGACCAAGATCCTTCAGAATTGACAACTGAAACAGTAACATACAAATATCCAAAAGCTAGGCAACCAAAATAAAGGAATTAAGTATATAACAGTTCTTTACGGTGTGTTTGGATTTCATTGGGGGTAGGGGAAGTTAAGGGAACATTGGGGAGAGAATTGAAGGGAAGCCATAGGTTCCCCTACCTTCCCTTCTCCCCTATTCCCCTCTATCCAAAACTCTCAATACTATTAGTAGAGGCACCTCCATAGAGCGAGAAATATAGCAGCCTTCAAAGAAAGAGCTACATTCAATTCATTTCATTCTCATTTCAACAACAATAGCAAAAATTGCAAGATAAAAACACTATCCCACCTGAGCCTCAGCGTAGCTCCCCTTCGCCTCCACTCCATCAGCCCCAATCACCAACGAAGGAAACGGCTCCACAGGACTCCTCCCCTCCAACTCAGCCACAAGAATCTTCGTCCTCTTCTGCATGCTAACCAACACATTATGCCAAGTGTTTGCCCTCGACTGTCCCCGTCCCTTCACGCCAACCCCAACCCCGACATTCAACTCCCCGAAATCCTCGGGCCTCACGCTCAGCCGGCGTAGCCCCATCAAGAACCGATATCAAACATGCACAAAACCCCTTCGTAATCTCCGAATCGCTGTCCACCGAGAAGCTCATCGTCCGCCTAGGGTTGATGGAGGCCGAGAGCCAAACCTGAGCAGTGCAGCCCATGACGCGGTTGGCTAGGGTTCGTTCAGCGGCGGGAAAAGGCGGGAGAGTGGAGGCGTAGTCGAGGAGGCGCTTGACGCGGTCGATTGATTGGGGGAGAGATTGGAACTCGGAGATGAGGCTGTTTGAGTTTCAAAGGGGAAGCTTTTTGGTTTGCGACGCGCGGAGCAAGATTTGATTGGGGCGAGGAGGAGGAGAAATCGGAGGTTTTTGGGAGGTTGGGGTTTCTTAGAGGTAGGGATTGGAGTGAGGAGCGGCGGTGCGAGACAGCTGCTGCTGCAAAATCCGCAATTTTTTCCTCTGTTTTTGGATGGAGCTGAGGAAGGGGGGCTGGGTTTGGAATTTTATAGAGGAAAAAGGGAGAATAAAGGTAATTGGTGGGGTCAGAGAGAAGAGGGCTGCTCTGCTTTTAGTCAATCGAGGAAGCGGTGGATCGAGGATAATGTATTTTTTTTCCCGAAAAAACTTTTTGGCACGTGCCTTAGCGCGCGCCTCAGCTCGCGCAGGAGAGGGGGTGGGACCCACTGTGCAGTGTTTGGTCCCAGCCCCCTCTTTCCTGCGCGTAGCTGTCACATGTGGGTCCCACGTCCCTCTCCCCTGCGCGAGCTGAGGCGCGCGCTAAGGGCGTGCCCAAAAAGCAGGTTCTTATTTTCCTTTGTGGTGTTTCGGATTGCAACGGTGCATAGTTTGGCTTGGGGGCCGCGGAGCCAACTCGCGTGAGGGAAGGGGGGCAGGCCATGCCCCACAGCTTTGTGGCCACTGGCCTCGCCCCTCCTCCTCCACGTGACGTTACCTGCGCGGCGGCCCCACGCGAGCCAATAGGCATTTCGCTTTTTTTTAAATTTTGGATATCAATCCGTAGCCTCTGTGCTGGCTGGTGGAAGGGCCGCTGTCGGGTCCCGTTCTCTGGTGGAGCTGATGAGTAATTACGTCGTACATAATATTATGTATCTATACTATGTACTATACTATACTACTAACTGCTTATAATAAAAAAGAATATGGGATCAAAACTTTTAATTTTCACAATTATCCTTCAAAGTTCATCTAAATTAATTTTTGTTACCACGTTTTAATTTCGGTTCAGTTGTTCTCTCTCTGTAAAAGAAGCGTTAAATTAAATATCTTGCATTACTATAACCTGCCACTATTAAAGCCTTTCTCTTATTAAATCTTATCGTTATTAAAGCGTACTTCCTAGTACCTAGGGCTGAGCATGGTTCGGTTCAAACCGAAAAAACCGACCGAACCGAACCGAAATTAGCAATTCGGTTCGGTTTTATTTGTATAGCGGTTCGGGTCAGGTTGAAATTTTTTCAGCCCGAACCGACCAAACTAATAAGAAACATACCCAATGCCCATTAACCATCAAACAACCCGACACGTCCCTCAAATATAACCAACTCTAAACCCTAAAATCCCAGCCGCCTCTTACTCTCCTCAGTTTATACCCTCAGCTCAAGCCCTAATCTATGCCCGTCCCCCGCTTCGCGCTCTCCATCCTCCTCTTCTTCGGCCTAGGTTTTCGCGGTCTCTCCCCAGCCCCGGACGCTGCTGTAAAGGACGTAAGGGTTGGGAATGGAGCCCTTCTGATCCTTTAGTGTGAGGTGAGATTCCTAGAGTTTTTATATGTTGGTAGAAATAGTTTGTTTATTTGATGCATTTTGATGATTGGGATGAGAAGGTAAGTAAATAGTTTGTTTATTTGATGCATTTTGATGATTGGGATGAGAAGGTAAGTGATAGATGAAATTGGGAAATTTTTTTTTTCTGATTGGTATGAAAAAAATTGATCTTGCAGTTAGTTTCCTCTTTAGTTGGAGGTTTACGGAGATTTGAGATCTGATTTTTTAGCTGTAGTTGTAAGTTTATGATTTTAGGGTGAGATTCTCAGGGTTTCATTGTTTTCTCATGGATTTTGTTGTCTTTGGGTTTGCATGGTGGGTAGAAAGAGTTGATTTATTTTGTTCGGTTTCATGGTTGGGATGGGAAGGTAAATGATTGATGAATTGGGTGATTATGAGGGTTTTTATTTTGTTCGGTTTCATGGTTGGGATGGGAAGGTAAATGATTGATGAATTGGGTGATTATGAGGGTTTTTGATTGGTGGAAGGATTATTGATGAATTGGGTGATTATGAGGGTTTTTGATTGGTGGAAGGATTGATTTCTGGAGTTAGTTTCCTTACTGGGTAAAAAGAGTAAAATTTGCTTTATTTTTTCATGTGAAATTTGTTGTTAGGGAGACAGCTAGGTTTTGTTTGAGAGCTGGTCTAATTATCTTCGCATGGTGAATTTTGGGGTTTACTTTTTGTTTTATCGATTATACTGTTATAGGACAGGCTTGCAAGTTACAGAATATGTGCTGCTAATAGTTAATATGCTATTATGATGTGGCTTTAGCTTTATTCAATGCGTTTTGGTATATTCTACAGGTTTCCGAACATGCATTCCCCTTCTCTCCTGTTAATGCTGAGAATGCTCCTGTAAGGCTACCTTTCCAGGTATTTGTTGTTGGAATGACAATGAAAGCAAGCCATGTGCTTCAGTTCTTTCTTAGGCTTGCTTTTGTTCTCTATGTTTGGCTTATTATAATATCTTTTATTACATTTTGGATATGGCGTTTGACATTTGTGAATTGTGAGAAGCTTTGGTGAAGCCCAGGAATTTAGAATGCATCTAGAACCGAACAAACCGAACCGAACCGACTTGCAACGGTTCGGTTCGGTTTTGAATTATATGCGGTTCGATTCGGTTGTTCAAAATTTGGTAAAAACCGACCCGAATCGAACCGTGCTCAGCCCTACCCTAATTAATTTCACTGCCTTATTCGTTTTCTTCTATTATCCTTTGTCTTCTATTCTTCATGATCTCATCTTTTTTAGTCCTATCATCTTCTCCAATATGAAATTCCTATTATAATTATTCTTTTGCCACCACTTCACCTCGAATCTGACTATTATTTGAGAATTCATTCACATGCTTCATACTTAGATGAAGCTAGTCTCGCATACTGAGATGGCCGAGAAGGATCGTTCCATGTAAAAAGAGGTAAATTGCAAGCCTTTTTTTGGGTATATTATCTTACCAATCATTTATAATTAAGTATTTGTTTTCTTAGCAATAAGTCCGTGGATAGTATATGCGTGAATGTTGCAAATACTTCTATTCTTTCGTTTGAGATTCACAAATTACAACTATCCACAAAACTAAATTATCTTAGGCTATGTTTGGGAACTTGGATTTGGGCTTGGATTTGAAATCCAGGGCAGCCCAAATCCAAATACCTTGTTTAGATTTTAAATTTCGTTTTGATTTTAAATCAGGTGATTTTGTAGAGGTGGATTTTAAAGCCTAATATTATGGATTTGAAATCCCCTGCTGACCCTTGTGATTCATCAAATCCAGCCCCCTTCATCTCATCGGTCTCTATCTCCTCAAAATCCCGATTCTCTCTCTCTCTCTCTCTCTCTCTCTCTCTCAACCCTAGACCAAGTCGATCGCCTCCTCCAGCCAACGCCTCGCCTCCGACTCCGGTGGCTCTTCTCCGGCGACCTATCCTCCCTCTTTCCTTTGTCTCCGGCCGTTCGCCGCCCCATAACCATCGCCTTGAACTCTCCCCGAAAATCCCTAACCTGAGAGGTTTCCCCTTCACTGAGATCTTCATCTCCGGCGATGAGCAGGAGGAGAAGGAATCTGATCGCACGTTCCCAATCCTCTGCAACGACGGAGGGATCCCAACTCACTGCCAAAACCATAACCCTAATTTCCATCGATGATGATGAGGAGGAGGAAATGGAGGATGAGGGGAAGAGGGAGAAGGAAGTGTCGATCTTGACTCTTTAGGGCTTTTAGAGATGGTGAGGATTGGATGAATGCGCTGTTGACGGTGGAGGACGCGTCTAGGGTTATGGAGGCAAGGAGGGGCGTGAGACTTAGTGGATCGGCGCCGGATTGGGCGGATCGGGAGACTGAAGATTGGTGGGTGGATGGGTTGAGGAGATTGAGAGGTGAGATTACTGCTACCACTTCCCAAAGCTAATTAGGAGGTTGAATTTGTTAAAAATTTTGTAGCTTTTGTTGATTATTATGTGTTCGTCACATTTTGGTATAAAGATTTTATCTTTGCATATTGTTCAGTAATAGAATGTTTACTATATTTCTGCACATGTGTCATATGACAATAGAATGTTTACTTGATGAGTTTCTTGTTGCCTCACATGGCATCCTGATTATGTCTTCATATTCTGGACAAATTGTAAAACCCAGAAACTTCATTGTTCATGGTAAAAAATTGTTTCTTTTTCACCTGGGAAGTGAATTTTACCTTAGATTAGCTGAGAATAGACATGTATGTGCATGGAAAATGTATATATCTACTGGTGTTTTGATATGGACTGCACTGTTGACTATATATAAACAGAGATCTCTGTTCGACAAGATCTAAACAGAGAATAACTTTTGTTTTGCATGGAGACATTAAAAGGCCATTACCTATTTAAACCTTCGATAGAATCTTTCTCAAATGGAGATTTATACTTTTAACGCCGATGGACGTTATTCATAAGATTCTTGTATTACGGTGTACCTTGCAGGTTAATATTATTTAATCAATTTAATTAATACAGTTTGTTGATTTGGGTGCATATGCACATTGGAAGTAAATATCACTGCTAATAAAACTAATGCAGTTTGAAGACTCCAATTAAAGTTAACCATGTGAAAATAAAATTAATATTCTTTATCGTACAAATATAGCGATTGGAAATGTTGTTTAAGTCTGATTTTTTCCTTAACTAGAAGATAAAAAATATATATTCAGAATACCGAGATGATACTGAACAGCTTAAGTTTCCGGACCCCTTTCGTTCCATAAATTGAAGAATACAAGTATGCTGCAAGTATACTTACGACACCACAATCTTGGCATCCTATGAACAAGGAAAAAATATGCCTAGTTTAATTGTAGGCCTAATTGAGTGATTCCTGGAAAAAAGATAGATGCACTTTCCACTACACTACTACTGCTAATTGGAGTTTTTATATGATTTGAGAAACTACCCATCATCTTTGCATCTGATTTTGGTGCACTAGGGCATAAGAAGATTTTCCAATTTTTAATTAACTAACCCT